GCAAAGAAAACTGAACTTCTCGCCTTAATTCCAGGCTAGAATCTGTAACTTCCATCTGCAACTTTTCTCGCCAAGTGACCAAAAATGGATGGCTACGACTAACGTACTCTACCTTTTTGTTGGAATTGAGGCTTGTATAGAGTTTCAATTATAACTTTTATTACCTTTTTTATGAAATCTATTTTAAGATCAATTACCATAATTGATTGAATTTTTACCGACATTACATTTAAATATTTTAAATTTCAATTTCATTCATTATATTCTTGATACCGAAGTGAACTTTAAATAATTATTTTCGATTTTTTATTTACCGTATTTATTATAGAAAAATCTTCACTTCACCTTTGATACCGCAAATTAAAAAAAAAAAAAAAATGTATATTCTATTAATCATAATCATTAATCTGAACTGTTCAGGAATTCGTGACTCATCCACCTTATGTTTTTCAGCATTTCTTGGTTCCATACAAAATACTTTAAAAATGGTTTCATCTCTCCTTCCTTCTCATATTTCTAACTCCCCAGATGAAATATATCTGGGAGCATTAAGAAATTATCAAAATTTCACAGGTATTCAAGATGTTTCTAAATTAATAATCCAAAAAGATTATGATGAGAGATTGTGCCTGGTTTCTTTTGAATATCTCTTGATGTCATCAAATAATTCTAAGTCTAACGCTCGTCTTTTGGCATTACAACAAAAAAAAAGCAATGCATGGCTTGAATCATTACCATCTGCTAACCTTGGGAACCTTTTAGATGACTCGTCATTCCGTATATCTGTCTCCCTTATTGGTCAGTCTGTGTGTGAGCAACATATCTGTCCCTGCGGCAAAGAAGTAGACATTTTTGGCCTTCACGGGCTCTGCTGCAGGAAAAGTGCAGGTAGGTTTTCTCGTCACTCTGAGATCAATCAAATTATCAGGCGGGCTCTTAGTTTAGCAGAAATTCCAACACAATAAGAACCGCCTAGTATTTGCAGAGGTGATGGAAAGCGTGTAGACGGGACTTCTCTGGTTCCATGGAAGACAGGAAAGTCTCTATTGTGGGATGCGACATGTCATGACACTATGGCAAACTGCTACATAAATAAAACATCGATAAAAGCTAGTGAAGATGCTATGTATGGCGAAGTCATCAGAAATTAAAAATACAAAGAGCTTGAGGATAGATATGTTTTTGTACCTTTTAATGTTGAGACTTTTGGTCCTTGCCACACTGCCGAAAGATGAAGACGTGGAAGAGATTTTGTTTTTTAAAAATATCAAGTATTTATTTATTTGTATCTATCAATTTATTTATTTATGAAGTAAAACTACGGAAATCAATAAAAAAAAAAACAGGCATAAATGTGAATTTTGTTGGATATTATATCCTCACTCCTAAACATAAAAATAATTTATTTAACAATAAAAAAAAAATCTGAACTGAGATCAAGGTTGGACAATATGTTCTAAATTTAAAATTATTGGGTAAGTACCTATAACGCCAAAAATTGATCAATTTTTCATCTGGGTTATATTACTTATAAACTTGAGGATTTCGGTTATATCTTCTTTATACCTTCAACGTTTAACCTTTGATTTCATACAGTTTAAATTTGATTTTACAATTTTTTTTTTTGAATTAATTTTCTGGAAACTTAAATCCTTCATATTTTTATTTCAAATTGAAGATATGGCCAGCGACTGTTAATGAACTTATAAGGCAACTATATTGATGTACATGGTAATATTATTTTATTTTTTTTGGAGTTTGATAAATCTGATTGAGGGTTAACCTCCATTTATTAATTTTATTTAAGTGTTCCATCAATAATTGATTTTATCTTTTGAAATTTGATGCTTGATTTTTGACTGACTGAAAATATACACTAATGTAATTTGAAACTTACTAATTGTTTTATTGGTTTCACCATTTCAGGATTTGGTTGAGTTATGTGCCTCATTTATTTCCTTTTCAGAGTTATCAATTACCGTCTGCAGATTATTTTTTTAGGTGTGTTTCTGAATTTTCACCCTCTCATATTTTATGTAATTTAATTATTTATATTCTTTTAAATTCAGTGGCGCCCTTGCCATTCTGTACTTATTAAACTATCAACCCACCCCTAATAATTATTCGCTGAGCAAACCGAGCATATTATGGGCCTCTTGTTAATTCATTAACAAAAAGGGTTACAATTTTTATTAAAAATTAACGGCAATTCAAATGTTCCCCAAAATAGTGTTAATATACTTAGTTTGTGTTCTAGAATTGGAAAAATAAAATAAAATAAAACACCAAATTTCCCCATTTCCAAAATTTCTAATCAAGGTTAACATTTCAATTGTCAATTATTTATTATTGCCAAATTCATAAGCAAAGTCCTTGAAATACGCTCTGAAATAAATGGATTTTCAAAACTTGATTACAAAATTTTTACCAACATTTTTGTGAAAAATTTATCAACCCTTCCCAGTCTTCCCCTATTTGTTGTTATTACAAATGCATTGTATAGGCGAAGTTTGGTCTTAGCACTGATATCGTGATTGTTCAAGACTCTCTCTAGAAGTCGTCCGACCGCTGCGCTTCAAGCGATGTTGGATTTCAGCGTCAAAGATTGCATTTGCTGCCGGATGGCTCTCAAGGTATAGGTAGTGTTCTACGTTCTGCAAGGAATGATCATCTATAGTTATATTTTGGGCTTGGGGGTGAGTGCTTGGTGCGGGTTGGTACAAAATCTGCGTCTTGTTAAAGTTGACCTCCAGGCCAATTCTCCTGTATGGCTGGTTGAATGCATTGATAATTGCCTGAAGATCTTCTTCTGTATTTGCCATCACGACGTTATCATCCGCATATTGAAATTCAATTATCGATTGTCTTGTCTTTTATCTTGGCTCGTAATCTGTTTAGGTTGAATAAGCTCTCATCAATTCTGTACAAGATTTCGAATCCTGACGACAGGTGACCCTCGATAAGGTGAAGTATGGATGCTATAAACAGAGAAAATTAGAGTGGGTGCAATAAGACAGCCCTTTAACGCCTGTAGTAATTTGAAAAGATTCTCCTGATGCTTAGGACGGTTGCATTAATATTATCATGCAGCAGGCGGAGCATATGGATGTACTTTTGCAGACACCCAACTTTTGCTAATATCTTCGAAAGAGCTTCTCTGTTGACCTAATCGAATGCTTTCACTAAATCTATGAAAGCCATGCGATTTTGTTCTCTGGATTTCTCCTGCATTTGTTTTGCACTGAAAATCAAGTCAGCTGTACCTCTGTTGGGTCTAAAACCAGATTGTGTCTCTGGGAAGTTCTCTTCGGCAGTTGGGATAGACGATTTTATAATATCCTGGCAAGTATCTTTTCCGCAACAGAAAGTAAAGATGTGATCTGTGATTTCCACATTGAGCCTTGTCTCCCTTTTAAATGGCAACTATGGAGGCGTCAGTAAATACTAGGCTCAGTAATCTATATTTTACTTATTAGAATGTGGGTTTGGGCACTTAGTGTGTGACCTCCTTATTTAAAGAATTCAGCATCAATGCCATCAGTACCAGTTGACTTATTTTTCTTTAGTTGTCTGATTGCCTTTTCAACCTCCTCTGATCTAGGAACATTGCTCGGTTCTTGTTGTATTGGTTTCTGTGGAATTTCGTCGAAGATACCATCACTTATTTGTGATTCTGTGTTAAGTAGTTCCCGAGGGTGTTCTTTTCAATGATAAATATTGGAGTAACTAACTTTAAGCAATCTTGTGCCATCTTTGGATCGTTGGGGATTAAGTACTTGAGTGGTTGATCCGTATACTATTTTAGTACCTTGAACAAAGGTCCTTGATTTTCTTATCCACCATTGATTCTTTAATGTTCCATTTGCGTTTGAGCTTCTGCTTTGCTCCCTGGTATTGCTTTTTTTACAGTCGAGCTGGGGTTACTTTTCCATGTAATAGGCGTTTCTCTTTTTTTTTTCTATAAGTTCTTCGATTTCCGGGTCGTTCTCATCAAACCAGTCTTGATGTTTCTTTTGTATGTAGCTGATCGAGGCAGATGTTATTGTAGTCTTCAGTATTTTCGGGTGCTTCTCAATGCTATCCTAGTACTCTAACTGATGTTTCTGAATTAGAGAGGCTTGTAAGTTTGTCCTGATATGATCGTCTTGATTAAATTTGCGTTTGAACTGCTTTTTTTGACATCTACATTTTGATGGTATGTGCAGGTTCATTCTGGCTGGTATCAGTCGATGGTCAGTCCAGCAGTCATCCGCACTTGTTAAAGCTGTCATAATGCATACATCATCTCGGTCTCTAGAACGTATAATTATTATATAATCGTTTGGTCTTAGATTTAATCTTTTGTCGAAAAAGTGTATTCGTTAATAAAAGGTCATATTCTGAACATGTGGGTATAGTAGCCGAAGCCCGTCGTTAACCCGGGTGTTAAAATCACCTAAAAGAACAAGTTTATCAGATCTAGTTACAGTCAATTTTCAACACTGGCAATGTGTGCCTTGTACCCATAATAGTATCGGCACTTTCCAAAAAATAAATGCACCCTTTATTAATTGTCTTCCTTCCACCAGTTCGTTTCTCAACTTCATCAAAAACTTTTCAAAAAAATTGCGAACACGGAAAACGTAAAAATAAATCAACTTTCGAGGGTCAGCGATAATTAATTCGAAAATGTCAATACAAAGCAGCGGAGGCGGCCACAACAATCTATCAATCAGTTATCTAGAACAGCAGCGCTGCCGGCCAGAAACGCGTCAGTTAAGTGTCGAAATGCCTTTTGGTAGAAATTATTTGAATTTTGGCTCGAAGCTTCTCTTTAAATTCTACTCTAACCGCTGCTCGAATAATTTGTTAGGATAGTTTATTTTAGATTAGTGCATAAAATGGTCAAAGAGATTCCTCTTTTGTTCAATATACATGAGTTTTTTTTTCGTTTTTGTTTTTCTCAAGTATAAAGTCCTCTTTATAAAAAATTTTTTCTTACATTGTCTTATTTTTTACAGGTTTTGGCGAGTCGTCTCGATCGAACTTTGATCTTCTGTAAAAGTGATAAAAGTAAGTAATATAATTTTATAACATAAAATTTTTGAAAAAAGAAAAGTAAAGGGATAAATAAGTAGTGGAATATTCCAATTAAAATGCGGCGATACCAATTTTTTAAAACCACAAAGCGAAAAGCTGTAAACATTTAAAAAAAAAACAGTTTCCAATTATAACATATTCCGGACAGATTTCAAAATCGGGCTTCAATTCTCTATCGGATTTCTATTAGGGCGGTAATCGTTGGACCGTATCGCAATCATTGGAAAGTCATTTTCATCATGTTTTTGTTACACATATATAAACAATAATTGAATTATAATTGTATTCGATCCGCGGAAGCTTTATTATTTATAATTAATAAAATCCAAAATTAACGTGACATTGTATGGAAAAAAAAACGAGCACGATTGAGAGTGAAATTTTTTCCAAAACTTGCCATACCACTGATCCGATTTTTCATCTACATAAAACAATCGGCCGTTATAGACTTTGGCTGCGGTAACCGCATGATATGCCAATCGTTATTCTAGGAATTTGTTCCTGTTCAGGGATTTTATGCGGATTTTCCTAATTGAGATTACTTTTGTATTCCACCGCAAAGTTATCTTTACGAGTCTCTGCCAGATTTTCTACCGATTTTCGAGGAAAACACAATCGTTTGCTATTTTCAGGTCAATGAATATGCATTTTACTACTCTATTTTTGGTAAATCCGCTGTTTATAGCCGTAGTCAACAATACTTAGTTGTCTGTGGTACCTTTTCCTTTTCGAAAACTTTTTCCAGTGAATCAAAAAAAATCCGTTTTTCCAGAGAATTTGGTTTGAATCATAGTTTCATGGTCCTTTGGATTCTAATTGAGTTTTTTTATTGTTATTTTATTTGTCTAGTCCAACGTTGCATAGGAGTCCAGCATTATGTACTTATGTTCTGGAAAAATCTTTACATAAAACTGCGTGCCTTTTTGATTATTTATGGGTCTAAACCTCAGCAACAACCAGCAAGCTACGTTAATCAGCGCCTACGCTTCAACCCTCATAACTGACGAAAACCAATATCCAGCTCAGTGAAACCATATCATCTGTTCCAGGATTTGATAAACTTGTTCTTTTTGATGATTTTACCGCCCGGGTCGGTATCGGCAAGGAATTCGTAGGAAAAATGAACTCAGAATATGACTTTTTTTCCCTTGTTCCAGGCCTGTCCGACTTATTGTCCCCATGCAGCACTGAAGCCGGAGAAGACTTATTGTACTTAGCCTGTGTGGTTTATTCCAACATTAGTATTTTTGTGCCCTGTACGAGGTTGTACAGGTCTTTTATTGAGTGGTGTTTCATTATTGTTTCAAGGTCTACGTTTGGTTGTCAGAAAATGCTGTGTCTTCTACAATCCAGTGCCTCGCAGTTCATCAGGATGTGTCTGGCTGTCTCGGGTTCCTTAATGCAGAGTCTGCAATTAGGATTTTCGTCGTTCAGGTTCATCCTGTTCAGGCGGACCTTTACTGGTATATGGCCAGTCAAGCGTTCCGTTATAGTTCTCAGTCGGCTCCTGCTCGTTTGTGGCAGGTGGCCCTTCTGCTGCATGATTGGTCGATGAATTTCCTACCATGATTCTGCCTGGAAGTTGTCTAGTGTCACCGATGCTCTTTACGAATCCAGTCTTTGATGTGGCTTCTGGTCATATCTATTGGTATCCCTAGAGCCGGTCCTGGCTCAATAAGTTTTGTCTCTGACCCTCTCTTTGCGAGTTCATCGGCTTTTTCATTGCTTTTGATTCCTCCGTGTCCTAGCATCAAGATAAGTTTCACCTTATTCTGGTCCGCCAGGGCCCTGAGTTCTTCCTGGCATTCCCATAATAGTCTTGATGACACTGTCTAGCTCGAAAGGGCCTTCAGTGCCGCTTGACTATCAGACATTATAAGGATCTGCCTGTTGGCTGTGACTCTCCTGTTGTTCTCTGCTGCGCATTGAAGTATAGCTATACCTTTGCTCGAAAAACAGTGCATAGTGATCACTATAGTTGGCAAAGTATAGCCCTGCTCCGGTACCAGACGCGGTCTTCGGCCCGTCTGTGTACCAGGTCTGGTCTGGTTTCTGCTTGGGAAGCTCAGCTCGAATGGTCTGTTCAGGCAGTATCGTCTTGGCATGTAGGCGATGCTTGTGTTAGAAATTTCTTCCCCCACGAGCACTACTATTGCCATGTGTCCCGTCCTTTTGTTGGAGGCGGTTGTCGGCTGCAGTCTGTACGCTCCCATCCTTACCTCCCCCTGTATGTGTAGAGGTGGGAGGTCTAGGAGGGTCTCCATGGCTACTGTTGGTGTGGATCGCCTTGACCCCGTTATTCCTGAGTAGGCCAGTCTTTACACTTTGCTAAGTTGGCGAATGGCACTTCTCTGCAGTGTCTTAGGCCACCGCACCAGGGAAGCATATGTCAAGATAGATTTGACCATAATGTTGTATGTCCAATACAGCATGTCCGGTTTTAAGCCCCATAATTTTCCATGTAAGCGTCTGACTATCATGAGTGATGTTACCGCTTTTTTTGTTGGTGTTTTCCAGATGTTGATTCCAGGTAAGTTTTGAGTTTACTGGTACCCCCAAGTACTCGACCACGCTCGAAATCTGTATATTTTCACCCCTCAATCTAAGAGGTCCTAGATCTTGTATTTTATGCCTTCGGGTAAATGCCCCGATAGTGGATTTGTTGGACTAATGTTTAGCCCTTCTCTATTCACCCATTTTGTTGTTCGATCTAACTGTATAGTTGAAGATGACTATGTTGTCAGCTTAAGCAGGCCGTCCGCCACTAGATTCCACAAGAGTGGGGATAATACCCCGCCCTGTGGGCATCTCCTGTACACCCTGACCGCCAGTGTCTCCTCTGCGGTGTTGGTTTCTACCATTCTTTCCCTTAGTATGAAGTTTATTCACACACAGCAGGTGTCCTCAACTCCTTCGTGCTTGAGAGATCTTGTCATTGAATCGAAGAAAGTGTTGTCAAAAGCTCCCTCTATATTCAAGAAGGAGCCCAGCATCACCTTTTTGTTTGAAAGTGTGGTCTCCACTATGCTGACTAGCTGGTGAAGTGCTGTTTCTGTTGACATCCCTGTCCGACAAGCATATTGGTCTGGGTGTCTGTTCACCAAAACACCGTCCCTAATGTGTCTATCCACAAGTTTTTCCAGTGTCTTAAACTCAAATAATGTAAGACTGCTGGGTCTTAGGGACTTCGCCGTGTTCTGTCCTATATTTCTAGGGTTTGGTGTGAATGATACCCTAATGCGCCTCCAGGCCTTTGGTGTATAGCCAAAGGCTAGGCTATTTATTAGAATGTTACATAATATCCTGTTTGCAAGTTCAGTTCGGTTCTGTAACATTATGGGATATATATCCCATCTGTCCTTGTTGACTTATATAGGTCAAAGACTCAATGTGGAAATTACACATTGAGCTTGCCAGGATATCATCATCGTCTAATCCTAACTGCCAAAGGAAACCTCCCAGAGACACAGTGTGACTTTAGAGTTTAGACCCAACCGAGCTGACATGATAAGGCAAAAGAAATCTAGAGAACAAAATCGCCCTCTGTACATGAACTTCATAGATTAAGTGACAGCATTTGATCGGTCAACAGGAAAGCTTTTTGGAAAATATTGGAAAAGGTTGGGTGTCCGCAAAAATATATCTAGATACTCCGGCTGATGCATAATAATATGAATGCAACTGTCCTAACGGCATGATGGCCAATACAGAGGAAGATCTTCAGGCAATTATCAATGCATTCAACCAGGCATATATGAGAATCGGCCTAGCGGTCAAAATATTCAACAAGACACAGATGATGTACCAACTCGCATTAGGCACTTCCATTCCCCAAGCCCCAAATATAACTATAAATGACCATTCCTTGCGGAACATAGAACACTGCCCATATGGCAAGGAATGCAACCATAGACGCTGAAATAGAAAATCGCTTGAAGTCCACAAGGCAAATGTAATACCAACACTTACAAAGCTTACTTTGATTTGATTTGATACATATGGCTGCGAAACATGGACCACCTACAGAAGACACATGAAAAGCCAAGAGAAATACCACCAGCGATTCCTTAGAAGGATCCTACGGGTTAAATGGCAAGACCGACGAACGAATATAAGTATTTCAGAGGTGGCCAAAACAACTAGCATGGATGCCTTCATCATTAAGCACCAACTTCGCTGGACAGGTCAACACGTCCACATACCCGAAACACGACTGAGTCTCTTCGGTCAATTGAAAGAGGGAAAACGGAATCAAGAAGGACAACAAAAACACTACAAAGATGTTCTCAAGAAAAATATGGTAAAGTGCCGCATCGATACCAGCAATTGGGAGACGACTGCAAATGATAGGCCCTCATGGCGTCGAGTAGTCCACGACGGACCACAAACTTTTGAAGAACAGCGACGCAGATACGAGTCCGAAAAGAGAAACAGCAGGAAAAAGCGAGAGAACAGAGGAAGAGACGATGCTTCCAGGGGCTGGGTGTGCCAAGTCTGTGGTAGAGTATACGGCTCGAGAATTGGCCATCAGAAAACGCACAATCTACGACAATAAGAATAGAATAGGAGATAATCATACTCCGCATCGAATGATCGCCTAGGATGATTGATTTTTCTTTGTTATCCAGATTTTCTTCTATTTTTTCTTCAGTGTAGTTTCGTTGCTGATCAGTTTTCTCTATAATTGCGAAACGGTGTGCTAAAGTGCCTTATTTGGCCACAATCCATTACACGTCGTTGATTTGTCCATTTTCATGTTGTTTTAAATATTGTCTCAATGCCAATTGTCTTCTATCAGCTATAAAATAATTACGAGCTTGATGCTGCTTGTTTTTCAATTTCCTGGTATGTTTTTAGTATTACCTCACGTTTTTATTATTGTTTAATACATGAAACTTTTGAGTCATCAATAAATTTTTTTGTGACACAAGTATCAACTGCCACTTTTCCTGAATAAAGATCAAAATTGAAAG